GTCTTGATGTGTTCAAGGCGTCGGAGGTCTGCGCCGTCGTCCCGAAGGTCGACTTCTCGACCCGTCCCGGAGCGCGGTCCCGACCAAGCTTGCGAGGCGAATCCAAAGGCGACGAGAGCACACCGAGTGAGTGAGAAGGCGGCGGGTACGTCGATAGTCTGCGAGGTTCTGAAGAAGCCCCCGCAGGAGCATAAGTTTTCAAGCTATTCAACGAGCCCGCCGCAGGCGCCGATGTTTTAATCAAAACAATGTGGGTGGGTCACGGGTTGGGTCGCAGGTGGGTCGCGGGTGGATCGACGGTGGGTCGCGGGCTGGGTCGCGGGTGGGTTGCGGGTGGGTCGCGGGTGGGTCGCGGGTGGGTCGCGGGAGGGTCGCGGGTGGGTCGCGGGTGGGTCGCGGGGTGGGTCGCGGGTGGGTCGCGAGGTGGGTCGCGGGTGGGGTCGCGGGTGGGTCGCGGGGTGGGTCGCGGGTGGGGTTGCGGGTGGGTCGCGGGGTGGGTCGCGGGTGGGTCGCGGGTGGGACAACAACAACAAACAACAGCAACAACAACGACAATGGAACATGCATAATCCTCACCACAGATCGTCCATTCGGCCACGCGCCCAGGGACAGTGAATGACCGTTCGGCACCCTTACTCTGAGAATAGCAAACGCGTGAAAGCCAATCCTCATCGACATCATCTCAAATTTCGAGGCGAATCCGTTGCTGTGCTTTTCAGGGGAGAGCTCCGTTCTCGCCGACGACGTTCTCGCCCGGCGAGTCTCTGGAGGCGGCGTCACTTGTTTGAGAAGGCCCAGCGGGTTGCAGACATCGCGGCGGCAGTGCATCGCAAACTCGGAAACCGCCGCAGCGCCTGCGGTATCGTGCCGAGCCCTCCTCGCCGAGGCTCCGTTCCACCCGATCGGTTCGATTCGATGCCGAGTGCACCGACCCCGATGCGACCCGATCTGGATAAATACACCGAGGACCCCACGTGGCCCTCTGCTCGAGTGGCGCTATACCTTGCATCCTGGCGCAGCCGATGCCGACTCCGTGCGGATGCGGGCCAACGCCACGCTCGACCCGATCCCCTCCGAATTCGCGAGTCGGTGCTGGCGGATCCTTGCCTTCAGCATCGTCTAGCCTCGGAGAAGGAAAAGGTACCTATACCTCTACCCCCTCGCCCGTTTTCCCCTTTTTGGGCCTCCTTGGAGGCCCTCGTTGCCACCGCTGGATTCGCCTCGAAATCCTGGTCAGAACGCAACCTGGGAGAGGTCCAGGGGGTAGCGGTATTGGTACATGTTGGTTTCCGCAAGCTCACCACCCCACCACCCAGGCGGGATAAGTCCATCGATAACCCAGGGGGCGAGCCGGCCAGTGGGGCCAGGGCCATGTCGGTGGGAATGGGCATCGGCCCCTGGCGAGAACGGGCGTGATCCGTGACTGTGGGAAGGGTGGAGGGGCTCGGTCACGTCACCATCCGCGCCGGCGCGTTGGGACGGGGGCGCGGGCGGTTGCGGCCACGGGCGCCATCGCGACTCCTACGACGCTGCTCACGCCTCTCCCCCCTGCGCGGCCGCCTGGGCATCGGTGCCCTCCCTGGGCGCCTGCGCGGCCAGCACCCGCGCGGCCCCGCGCGCGGCGTCCCGCCCACCAGGGCGCGGCAGGCCATAGCGGCGATGCGCGGGTCGCTTGCGGCACCGCCCGGGGCGCCGGCCGCGTGGGCGCCAGCCCCCGTCTGCGCGCAGGCGCTGCGCCCTCTCGGCTGCCACCGAGAGCCTCTCGGGGGCGGCCAGTCAGTCGGACGGGCCTGAGATCGAGATATAAATCCGCCCCAGAGCGTTCCGGAGCGCTGTGAAACGGCCGCGGCGCCCGATGCATCCAAATCCACCGATTTTCAGAGATTTCCGATTGACATCAGTCTGTCTTCTTCAACGATGTTGGCTTCGTCTTAAGAGAGGGGTGACGACGAGGGGGGAGGATAGCATGGCAGGGGCCATGAGATCTCCCAGACCTCACGGCCCCTTTTTTTTGGATGCGTACCTCGGTCCCCCCTGAGCCACTCACATGCATCGTGCCGCCCCCTCTTGGACGCCCCCTTCTTGGACGCTCCCTTCTTGGATGCCTCCGAGAGTCGGTGCGCCGCAGAAAGGCCCAGCCTCCCAAATGGGGTCCGAGCGGACGGGGCCGAAGGACCGCGCCGCATAGCCGATGCGTCGCCCACGCCACCTACGCATCGGCGATGCGGCGCGATCCTACGACCCCCCTGGACCCAACTCGTGAGGTCACCGGAAGTCCCAGATCTCCGACGATCGGATTTCGTCCTCCTCCTCCTCCTCCTCCTCGTCCTCCTCCTCCTCCTCCTCCTCCTCCTCCTCCTGTTCCTCCTCCCGATCCCCCCTCCCGATCCCCCCTCCCGGTTCCGGCCTCCTGGGGCCCGCCTTCGGGCCGCGGGGCCCCTGCGGCGGGAGCCTGGCCCCTGGACGGGGTCGAGACATCTCGGCATCCCCCCAACATACTTATACTATGTGTTCGTCGCCCCCCCAGGGGCGACGCGCGCACCGAGAAATCTTGTAGTATATGCGTCGTGGCGGGCGCTTTCTGGCCACACCGCTCGAGAAACGATATACTACAAGATGGGTATACTATATGTTCGGGTCGGACGCGCGCCTCCGAGGCGGACACACAGTATTAGTATGTCTCTGTGCGTCCCAACATCCCTGCATGAGACCGCGCCCGGAACAATAAAGCAGTTGGCTTCCACAGTCTACGCGCTCTTGCAATATCACCGGCTCTTCATGGTTGTGGCGTCCTCCTTCCTCCCTCCTTCTCTTCTTCCTTCTCTCCTGCTCCTTCCCCTCCACGCAAGCCACGCGCGCAATTCTTAATCTGCCAATGCGCCGTTTGGGCGCCAGGCTTGATTGACAGCGGATATCTGGGAAGCTGTCGTCGTCCTCCTCGGGGGAGGCCGCGGGAAGGTCCGCGGACGCCGGCAGAGGACCGCCGAGTTGGCGGCAAGCCGGCGGAGAGCCGGCAAAAGCTGGCGGAGGCCAAAGATGCGCTTAGGCTTTGGGTTTGGAGCTCAGAAGGCTCGAGGCCTTCTAAGAAGCCCCGCCGCCTGACTGCAGGATCAGGGTTCGAGGATCGGTCGGCGTCGTCGGTTTCGGAGTCGTTGTGGGAGCGTTCTGGAGGTTCTCCTGGTCCTGTCTGGACTCGGCCTGGCAATCCGGGCAGGTTCACCCTGGGAGCCAGCCGTCCGCGGAGGGAGCCTGAAGGGGCTCTGGCCGGATATCGAGGATCGAGATGCAAGGCTCGAGGTGTTGGGGCGAGTGCTTGGCTCTGCCCGGGCATCAGGGAGGCCTCTTCGTCGCCGCAGGTGGATCCACCTTGGACTCCTGATCAGAGAGCACACCAGAACGACGCGGCGCGGGCGCTCTCCCTTCCCCTGCCGCTCGCCTCCCCCCTCCCAGAGCATCGAGCCATCCCCTTCTGTCCCCTCCATCGCGTCGATCGGTCGGCCCGGTGCGTCCCCTCCGCCTTTGTCGGCTGCGGGTAAACTTGTTTTCCGCCCTAGATCGGTAGCAAACCATGTGCCATGTGAACTCCGCGGACACTCGCAAGTCCGTCTCAAGAGTGCATTCGCTTCGATAAGCGTCTGGCAATCGTCCAGAAAGCGCCGCTTCAGCGTCGATCGAGCGTCGATGAGCGCCGATTGGCGTCGACTCGCAAGAGCCAACAAGATGGAGAGGAGTGGAGAGGAGAGGAGGGGAGCAACTGAGGCGAGGAGGGGAGGAGGGATGGGGGAGGAGCGAATGAGGAGAGGAGTGGAAGGAGGGAGGGGGGAGGCATGGAGGGAGGAAGGGAGGAGGACCAGGGAGGAGGAGGAGGAGGAGGAGGAGGAGGAGAAGGAGGAGGAGGATGAGGAGGAGGAGGAGGAGGAGGAGTGAGCAGGAGCGAGCAGTAGCGAGCAGGAGAAGGAGTAGGAGGGCTTCGAACCCCGATCGTCGGGAATCCTCGATCCTCGATCGGGTCTGACGCAGGCGAGGCGAAGCAGCAGGTGAAGGAGGAGGAGGAGGAGCAGGAGGAAGAGCAGGAGGAGGAGCCGGAGGAGGAGCAGGAGGAGGAGGAGGAGGAGGAGGAGGACGTCGAAGCCTGATCGGTGGGGATCTTCGATCCACGATCGGGACTGACGCAGAGGTGCCCGTCGCCCTCGCGCCGCCCCACCACGCGTCGAACGGGCCTGGGCGATCGCCGCCGCCGGGGCCGCGCGCGCCGGCGCGCGTGCTGGCAGGCGCTGTCTCGCCGATGCGGGGCCTCAGCCCCCGCCAGCAGGCCAGCTGCGGGGGTGGGGAGCAGGTTTGCCCCCCCCCCCCCCCCCCCCAAGAGCTCCGAGCTGGCGGGTCGGGGTTGCGTCATTGCGGGGCAGAAACGCCGTTCCTTCCAACGGCCGAAAGGTTACTGCGTTTCGGGGGGGCGGGGAAGGGCCCCCGCTCACTGGGCCCGAGGGAGCCGTCAACCAGCAAGAAAAAAGACTAAAAAAACAGGAAGGTTGGTGGTTGCTCCCTCCTCCTCCTGCTCCTCCTCCTCCTCCTCCTCCTCCCCTCCTTCCTTCTCCTCTCCTCCCTCGCTCCTCCTCCTCCGCTTCTCCTTCTCCTTCTCCTCCACTCTCCGCCTCCTCCTCCTCCTCCTCCTCGTCTTCTTCGTCGTCCTGCCTCCGCTCTTCCTCCCTCCTCCTCCTCTCCCTCCTCCGTCCTCCCTCCCCTCATCTCTGGCCGCCTCTCCGCCTCTCCTCCTCCTCCTCTCCGCCTCCTCCTCCGCCTTCTCCTTCTCTTGTCCTCCTCCTCCTCCTCCTCCCTCGCCTTCTTCGTCGGTCCTCCTCCCGCTCCTCCTCCTCCTCCTTCGACCTCTGCGCCCTCCTACTCCTCCTCCTCCTCCATCCTCGTCCTCCTCCTCCTCCTCCCTCGTCCTCCTCCTCCTCTGCCGTCTCCTCTCCTCCTTTGTCTTTTCCTCCTCCTCCTCCTCCTCCTCCTCCTCATCCTCCTCCTCCTCCTCGCTCGTGACCCCCCTGGGGCCGCAGATGCGGCGAGGCATGCTGCCAGGTGCCTGTGAAGACTGGTGTGAAGAGCCAGGCGGCCGAGCGAGGCTCGAGGGTGTTCGCGGTGGCCCTCTTTGGGCCTGGGCTCCGCGGTCGCCCCGTGGGGAGGAGGAGGAGGAGGAGGAGGAGGAGGAGGAGGAGGAGGAGGAGGAGGAGGAGGAATGGGAGGATGAGGAGACAGGAGGGGGGAGGCGGAGGAGGAGGGAGGCGGAGGAGGAGGAGGAGGCGGAGAAGGAGGAGGAGGACGAGGAAGACGAGGAGGAGGACTTTCAACTTGGTCGATGAAGCCCAATACTCCCCAGGAGCATTTTTGCTCGTTCTGGTCAGTCGTTCATTGTTGCTGCCGTGGGGTCTGGCGAGGGCCCCCGGACGCCAGACAAGATCGACGATTGCCATCTCTGTCGCTCCACATGCAGAAGTACCCACACGCTTCTCCACGGACCTCTCGCGGGGGTCGTTCCGACCAAGATCTCGAGGCACCTCCAGCGGTGGCGACGAGGGCCTCCCCAGAAAGCCATCTACATGCGAAATTGCGAGGCACGGGGCAGCGGTATATGGGCACCTGTTCCTCCTCTGGGCAGGGGCTTCCCCTAATTGAGGACTGCGGCTTCGGGACGCAGCCAGAGCCTGCCCCTCCGAAGGATCACAACAGAGAAAAGCGCCCCGAGCTACGTGCCCTGGCGACGGCACGATACGCCTCCGTGAAGCGCTGCCTCTCTCTGCGGCGGCCCTGGGAACCCGGCCCCTGCGGGCCGTCGCCGTCTCGCCCGACGCCATCGCGCCGTCGTCGTGGGTCAACGTTCTCGACGGCCCTGGGAGCCTTTTCGACGTTTTCGACGGCCCTGGGGGCCTTCTTCCTCCTCGTGACCCCCCCCACCTCTCTCTCGAGAAGTGGTCTGGGGGCGACGGCGTCCGCGATTCGGTTCGGTCGAGCGGTCGGCTGCGTCATAGTCGGCTGGGTTTGGTCGATCCATTTCGGTGCGCTGCTTTGTCCTTGCGCCCTTCTGTCCGCGGTGAGCGACGGGGGGAAGCGAGAAAGAGAAGGCCTTCTCAGAAGGCGGCCGGACCTCTCAGAAGCCCTCACCCGTTCTGAGAGGCTCCCCGTGCCTTCGGGGAAGGTCTTTGAAAGCTTCTATCAGAAGGCCAGGGGGCTCCCAAGCCTTCCGAGAATGTCCGCCCCTTCTCGCTTCCCCCCCTCGCTCGCCGCCACTTCCAGGGCTGCTTTCTGCCCGTCGGCTTCGGTCGGGCTTTCGCTGTCGCTCTGGTCGGTTTTCGGCCGTTGTTGTCGTCGTTGGCGCCCCCGCCAACAGGCCCTTATTCGGGGTGGGAAGGCCTCTGCGCCTTGCAGCGAAGCAGTCGACGTTCGGGGATCAAGGTCAGCTGACGATTTTTACCTCTGCTGGTCCTCCGGGAGCTTCAATGCCCTGATAGGCTCGTGCTGAAACGCACCACGTGCCGGTCGCAGAATGCCCAGGTTAGAAACGCTGCGTGTTGGCTCAGCGTGTTTTTTTTCGGCGCGCACAAGGGGGTGGAGGGAGGGGGGAGGGCTTCTTAGCAGGAGGCTGCTTCTCAGAAGGCGCCGGCCTTACATGTGTAGATGAGGCCCGCGCCTTCGAAAAAAGCAGGGGTGCTTCTGAGAAGCACTCCCCCCCACCCACCCCCCACCCCCCTCTTCGGGGGAGCGTAAGACCCGGGTTTGCCGGGACTCGGGTTCGCCATCGTTTTTTGACGACCGCGACTCGGATTTTGACGAGGAGGAGTTTCGTGGGATGTCTGCAGCGGGAGGCCTCGTCAAAATGCAGGCTCGGCCTCGTCATTTTTTTGACGACCTCGTCGGGGATTTCCGAGTCCCCCGTACCCGGGTCTTACGTCTCCCCGACCTCTGCGCGTGGCTGAGTGTTCAGGCGAACGTGTGAAGCCCAAGCTGCGCCGTCGATCTGCGTGTTGAGCAAGGGCTCCCTCGAGGGCGCGAAGTTATTCGCGCTTCGCGCTTCGCGGTCCTCGATCCTTCTCCCCCTCCTCCTCGTCCTCCTATTCTCCCTTTGGGGGGCGGCGCGAGAGCGCGAAGTTATTCGCGCTTCGGGCTTCGCGGAGCGCGAAGCGCGAAGTTGGGAGCCCGAGTTGAGCCCCGCGCCACCACGCTGCGGGCTGCGCCTTGCGAGTGGGGGCGGCTGGGCCCCCGGGAGGGCTCCTCGTCGCCGAAAGGCGGGAGCCGCCTCGAGCGCACCCCTGGAGAGGCGCAGGCTTCGAGTTCCCCAGGTCTCGATTCGGGGAAGCGTGAGACTCGAGTCAGCGAGAACTAGGGTTTGCAGGAGTTTTTTGACGAGAGCGTCGTGGATTCTGACGGTTCGGTTTTCGTGGAATGTCTGCAGCGGGAGCCCGCGTCAAATTTCAGATTGGGTCTCGTCATCTTCATGACGGCCCC